CCAATGGTTAATACAGCGCCATGGAATCTGAAATCATCATATGGATGCATAGATAAGCCGCCAGGAACACAACTCCAGCCTGTTGCTTTTAAGTGAATACAATGCCCACATCGCAAAGGTTCCTGAAGTATGGTGTCTTTGGAGGGCATCTTTGGGGAGTGGCTTTGGAACATGTCTAATGCAAAACTTAGGTGGGCAGTTCTTGTTGAACCAATTGTTGCATATGTGAAACTTGAACACACACAGTCCTCAGATCCCATCATATTTAATCCAGCCAGCCACCACTTGGGCGTGCCACCAAGCTGTTGTGACCGAGTTGCCCCATGGAAGTGTGACACCCTGCTTGTTGTCAATCTGCCAGAACACAGCACACAAATCTATGTTGAAGAACCACGACAAAATGCACACAAGTTCACTCTGAACTCACAGGTGCCTTCAGGTTGTGCAAAGTTTGTGGCCAATGCTCAGGGGATGTGGCACGGCTGATGTAGAAGGAAGATGTGTAAAGAATGACCCCTATTGAAGACTTCCCGTCCCTGCCCTTGCAAGTGAAGCTGACACGTTCACCCAGCTCAGCTGGCATGACAAGGTCTGGAATGCGCGCAGCCTTCAACTGCTGCCATGTAGACTCTGCACGTTCCTTCCTTTTCTCCTTCTCCTGCTCCTTTCCCTCGGCCTTTGCTACCTTCTTCTTGGCTGCACTACGCGCTTGCTTCTTCGAAGGTGAAGCCTTTGGTTTGGCACTACGCTTGGCTTTTGGACTAGTCTTCGGCTTTGGTGAGGCTTTGGCTCTGGCTTTGCTCTTGGGCTTTGCACCAAGCTTCACACTAGAGGCATCAGCAGGCGCAGACTTGACACGAGAGCGTTTGGGAGGTGGTTCAAGAAGCTTTGCTGCCTCTGGTTGTTCTGGTTCAGGCTGCTTTCTCGGCCTGCCAGGCCGACGCTTTGGTTCCAATGCCTTGGCTGCCTTGATCTCTTCCTTTTTTTTCTGTTCGAACACCTTTTGAGCTTCATCAGCCTTTTTCTCCTTGCAAACAGACAACTTTGCTTTGGTTGTTCACTAGTACTAGGACAGTGCAAGTCAAAAGCTTTAAACACACACACATACACCTTTGCCAATCGTTGACGGAGCTTGGCTTGCTGTAAGGCGAGATCTGCTGGATCCTGTTTTGCAGTTGCACTTGCTTCCCACTATGTGCGACAAAACCTGGAACCAGGGGTTTACTAGAAGAATCAAAGTCTCCTCCTCAGATGGCGAAGCAGGAGCAGCCGGATCGCCCTAGCCACAATACATATGAACATCTAAATATATATTATATATATAAGCAAGAGGAGGCTTCAAGAAAATATAAGTCAATGTTCATTCCAATGAATTTGAATCGCCTTCCCACCGCTTCGACTCCCGGAATCCAGTGCCTGACCACAACAATTCAAAAGGTTGCACCCCACGTATCAAAACTTTAATGATCAAATCTAGTACTTGGCCTTCATTGCTCCAGACCACTTTTCAAAGTATTCTCTTATCCGTAGGCTCATAGGCACAAACTCCTACCATGCAGGTGGTTCTTTAAAGTGATGCTTCAGCAATGTAGGGGAGCCTTCTCCTCTCCAGCTCCCAGAGGGTTCTCCAATAGTACAGGAGGCTGAAGTTCAGCAGATTCCTGCAGGCACATACAGCCAGAAACTGCATTTTCAAAAATGCAAATGAATTGCATGTGTTATATACACACAGCCAGAGAGGTTTAAGCTTTTAAGCTTGAGGTAAACATGCAAAGGACATCCATGCCTCAACCGGTGCCTTCATAGACTCTTTTGTTTCTTCCTCCGTGACTCGACCCTGACAAACCCCGGCCCCAATTTATCACGAAAAACACAGCTCCATCCATTTGGCAAGACAGGGCACTTATGAACAACAACATGGACGATCCGGTGCCTCTAAACCAGCCCCAGGCTCCACAGTTGTTGCCACTTCCTGACGTACTTCAACAAAGTCTAGTATCCCATGAGCATGGCAAACTCAATGCATAAGCTCAATTAGAAAAATATGAAAAATCAGCAAACAAAACCACCTCCACACAGGGAAATCCAGCCTCAGGGACTTGAGAAGCTTCCAGAGCCGGGACTTCCTCCTCACAACAGAGCTGGCTCACAGTTCCCTGCACTGACTTGCAGGTGGACAGACACAGGCTTTCCAGCCTCCTTGCATGCAATATAGGGGTTTCTCTGTTGTTCCTCAAAAACGAACCAGTGCAAGGTACAAATTCGTACAGCAATCGATCTAGAACTGGAGTGCCCACAGCTGTACCTAGTGAAGACCAGCCTGATCAATAGGCTCATCATCGATTTCAACCACAAGTGCCTGCTCATTGTCATCATCTTCAATCTCCACAACAGCTGCCTGGATCAAAACAAGTGGTATACTGCACATGTAGAGCAGTCATGTTTTCCACGTTTAAGACCGCCTATCCGTGAAGAATATATATACATATACACCAAAAATTGCCAAGACCAAACAAAGCACTTTTACTGGAATCAAGGACAATGGCATGCAGGCCTCATTGCCTCCCGTAGCATCTGCTGAGCCAGCTCCATCCCTACATATATACACAAAAGCGGAGGGATACACATGGAATACCTTCAAAGCTCAAACCACAGACCCAAGAGTGAGTCCAGCCTGGACCAGTTGTATGCAACCCACAGCCTCTTCAGCACTTGCAGCTTCATGTTCCTGATCACCCCACAATGACTTGTTCTCCTACTTCACTGGAAGTCTACAAAAAATTGATTGAAATCTGTGCATCCATATTGAAACCGGAGACCTTCAATAAAACCAATAATTTCCCAGCTAGATGTGTCCAAGCCTGCTCTCAGTAGAAACTTTGCAAAGCCTGTTGAGGTGCTGGAGCATCGACCTTGCACGCGTAGCTTCTGTATTAGCCCAATCCTGAGATTAAGATGGTTTGGGGCAGAATTCCAAGTGAGGTCAAAGCGACACAAAAAAAATACAGTATCGGTTGTCACGTTTTCTAAATTCGAGCATGATGAACGACATGTACAAGAACATATTCACTACATAGAATATTGCATTCAAAGTGCTTTGATGTGCTTCTTCCCACCACGGATCTTGTACTTGTCCGTGTGCCAATTGCTGATCAATGTGCTCAAAAGGAACCCAGCCTGTAGCACTTGCAGATCCATGATCTAAACTGAACATTGAATAGTATAGTTTGGTGCACCGAATCCACATTCAAAAACAATGAGTTGGACAGTTGGGCACACAATCCAACGAACATGAAACAGACCTCAAAGTCCTTCAGGGGTGGCAAGCCATCACAAATGAACGTCCGCATATAGATCAAGAGTTCTCTCATGAGGTTGTAATTGCGCTCCAGGTCATCTTCATAAACCTGAAACCCACCAGCCCCAGCAGAACACATCCTCAAGTTTGCAGTCACTATGCACTCCATATGCACCCAAAAGAAACAAACTAAGGGCAAAACTGTTGCATTGACATGTTCACGGTTCCAATTGCAAACCGGGCGTTCCTGCAACTTTGAAAGTCTTCAATGGCTTTTAGGCACCATGGAAGCTTAAAGTGAAAAGTCCAATTTGTTCACCGGACCTGCCTCACTGCACATCACATCAGGGCAATCTTGCTTGATATATTCCAAGATTGCATTACAAATGCTTTGCCCTTTTGCCTGATCATCATGGGCCAGGGAGTATAGCACTAGTGATCTTAAACCTTGCAGTTCTCCAGTTAAGGTGTGTAGCATAGGGAGTACAGGGAATGAATCACATCACGTGCAGACAGGATACAGACACCTTGAATTTCATGGGTGCCACCACACAGCGAGTGCCATCCTCAAGGGTGCTATCCACCACCAACGACATGGCCGTGTCGCACTGAGGTTGGGATGTGAGCCGGTCTCACTGGCGAAGCGGGGGTTGCAAGACATGGACAAACATAGACAGCAGACATGCTCAGGCATCAAAGTACACACCGAAAACACAGCAAGCACCTTTAAGTGCAGCAAGCCGAAGGAGGCCCATGTGCAAGACATCCAAGACATACAAGTGTCGTTGTTCCTAGTGTGAGTGTAAGCTGTGTACAATGTTTATGGGTTGACATGTGCTAGAAACCTATTGCGCATATATGCACAGCTAGATCCAAAGACTCTTGCTGCTGTGGAAAAGAGGCTCACTTGCCTGACACCATGCAGGGATTTGGTCTGATTTGGGATTGTTACCCTGGTGCATGGCCTATCTTTGCCTGAGAGCATCAGTGACTCTCTGGAGCAAAACAAGGCCCAATAACGTCCTGACAAGAAGCTGGGCCAATCACCTTCTGAGAAGGTAAGTGGATCCTCAGGGATTGGAAAAACTACATAAAATCTCTCATGTTCAAAGTAACACCACTTCTCTAGAAGTAAATGAGAATTTCACTCAAATTAAAACTAAATTGAAAAAGAATACACTATTAGAATTAAATCTGACTTGTATAGCAATGAAGTTAGAATTAGCTTGAAATCAAATTAAAATTAGGCTTGCATTGAATCCCAAGTAAATTAGAATCTATAGTGATAGACCTTTGAATCAAAATATGATTTACAAATAATTGACATAGACTCAAATTTGAATTTGAATATACAAAGTAGAGTAGAGTTGAATATACAAAGTAGATTACTCCATCCAAGAACTGTTTAGTAAACACATAACCTTATGGATTTGGACATTTTTGTAGTACATAGTTAAATGAACAAATATGCTTACCAACTGCACACCAGCGCTCAGAAACATAGTTTTTTTTCTTGGGGGGGGGCTAGCATATATATATATATAGTATTCTACAGAAATGCTTTTCTTCACTGGACACAATGCTCCAACATCTCCAATACCCATAAGAGTCAGAACACTCTCCCGGATAGCTCTCACTAGTCCTTGTATGTGTGGTTCCCGAAACTCTGTGGTGGATGTTGCCCGCGGTTCTCACGCCACTTTTACCGTAAATTGGAAACGGTCATGTGGGAAATCCATGCAAAATCCCCTTCAGCGTCAATGTCTTGGGACGTGTCTATCAGAACCTCCCCAGCCCCCGAAAAGGCGGCGCGACAACAGCGCCGATGCTCCAGGCTGTTCTGAATCTCCGTGCGCATCTGCTGGAAGCGCTCATCCAGCTCGTCGTACAAGGAGTCGAAGCAACGTTTGATGAGGGAGTTGGTGACCCGGATCTGCTCTTTGCCTGGTTGCTGTGGGAAGCCTCCCACTGCCCAAGAGCTGAGGGTGGTTGGAACATCCCACAGAGTGAAACCAAAAGGAGCAACCTGAACATGAGCCTAACTGTGAGCTCCACACAGCACTGATGACATAGGAGTATTTGTTGCTTGTGGGGAAGTGGGCAAACAATACGTTGCCACTACCTGTTGCTCACTGACAGATAGTCGTATTGTTGTTTCCTGTTGTTGTTGCTGTTGTTGTTGTTGGTGGTGGTGGTGGTGGTCATCGTCCGTTGTTCTTCTTGGTGGTGGTTGCTGCTGTTGGCCCCACAAACGCCTATGCCCCTCCATTCGCGCAGCTCGCGCCCTTCCAAACCCCGCCCGAAACTTCCCCAATCCTCTTCCATCTTGCCACTTCCTCCATCCATCTTGTGCCAAAGGAACAGTCCTTTACCGTGGCTGGATTAGATCCCCTCATGCCAAGGACCATGTTCACCAAGTCCGAAAAACCCATATTCTGCCTGAGAGCGGGTCGACAGGGCTCAAGTCCGGAGCTGACGGGGATCGGAGTCGAGTGGTGGGGCCGACATCCCAGGAAATCAAGTCAGCTAGGCAACTACTGTATTACAATATGTATAATTAGATGGGTTAGTTAGTTAAGTCTGGTACTCTCAGCCGCGGAAGTCACGGCATAGTAGGAAAAACTGGTGTTCCCCAATGTAACCGCGACTCCAGGAGAGGGTTCCGGCAGGGTGTCAGCAGCCAAGGTGGACTTGATTGGTCCGTTGATCGGTCGGCTAGTTCAAGTTGCCCTTAAAGAAGCAAGCTACAGTGTGTGGTTGGCAAGTTGTCTGGCCGGTGATTAGTTGGCTGGTTGGAAACCATTACGGTCAGGATGACCATGCAGTCCATGCAGTCGAAACCCGCTGGACCATACAATACCATAACCATACATTACAAAATAGACATGGTCACTTCGATTCGCTTGGCCCATACTTTTCGGGGCTTGGGCTTTTCGGCTTTGCCTTGGCCAAGCCTCCATGACTCACCGTCATCCCAGCCGAGGAGCGACGTCTTGGCGGTGGCGTCCTCCCAAACCAAGTCGAGCATTTCAGCCAACACATCCTCAGCCAGCGATTTCAGAGGCAACAGGGCCGAGTCTATCTTTTCTGGTTCTGCTTAGCGTCTTTATGCATCTTTTCCGATTGGTCCGGGTACAAAGGCTGAAATTCATCGAGTTGAGATCGCTGGATCTGGGCGCTGAAGGGGTGGTTAGGTTGCCCACTTCATGTGTGCATGATGCTAATTACGAGGAACCAGAAAAGAGGTGCAGAACACAAAAGAACACCATGTTCTGGAGCTTTCTTCCCTCAGCTCAGCTCACTACAAAACCAGACCATGAAGCATTTAAAGCCCACTTGGATCTCTAGGATCCGCTGGGCACATCCAAAACAAACCCTTGCCTGACCCCCCAAAACAAAGAAAAAGTAGATCCCCACTCAGAATATGTTGGAAAGCCTGCCGCTTCAAGACCTGCCTCGGTGGATGGTCAAGGACGTTCACGCCGAGTGTCGACGTTCACGCCTGCCTCGTGCATGACGCGGACGATGCCCGGCTCCAGAACCTGAGCGCCGTGCAATCGGCCGGCGGAATTCGGCCGGCTCGAGCTGGAAAGGGGAACTGGCCGACCGTGACGCAAGCTACTGGTATGGCGAACAAGCGAAACGGCGAACACCCGACAAAACCAACACTGTGATGGAAATTGTGATTAATGTGATAGAAGTTGTATTTATATATATATGCAATATATATATATAATTGTGACAGACAAAGTGCATGTGATAATTGTGATAGAATTTGCACACATTACCAAAATCTCGACTCACCCATCACCTCGACAAGGGTGGGTGGCTCCTGCTTTTGTTGCAGATCCATTGCTATGAGACACATCAAAAATGTCAGGAATTGTCATCAAATGGACATGGGCGAATCGGACTTGCAGGCTGCAGAAGTTGAGACTTAGCATCACTTCATCGATCACCATCTTCTTTGGGACCCTTCCACCTCCTTCGGTGCAAACACGAACCCCAAGCATCAGCAAACCCGCTGCTTCTCCAAGCAGCTAACTTCTGGAAGTCCGCTTGGTTCAATTCCATGGCCTCCTGGGTTTGCCAAGCAACTCAATCCCGGTTCGCAAAATCATGAGGAATCTCGAAATTCATTGGACATTGTGACATGGGTATGACCGATGGTACACGCATGTGCAACACCTAAGAATGTTCAACTGCTTCATTTGCCTTTCATTGGCTTTTGTTTTGTGTATTCAAGGTTTGCGCTCTCTAGTACTTGACCAGACACACACGTTGTTCCGCTTTGTTTTCATCATCATCTTCTTCTTCTTCTTCTTCCTCCTCCTCTTCTCACGCCAAGCATCAGGCACGATCGCCAGCTTCTCGAGTTCCTCCCGGAGCTGCCCCACGATGTAAGCTGGCGGACGGTCCAGGTGGTCTCTGGGGGTCCCCAAAACTGCCGCATGTCGCATGTGGGGCTGCAGGAACCTGCTTTACAGCTGATCAACTTGTCAAATCTCCACACGTTGCAGTGGGCTCTCCAGTCGTCTGCTCCCCTGGATGTTCCACCCATCTCTACCGAGTGGCTAATTTCGATCTTCTGCTTCTCTGTGGATGCCACCGCACCAATCCTTGCACAACGCATGACCGCATGGTGGAAGTTTCTTGGAGGAATCCAGTACTTGGCTGAGACTCTCAAAAAAGTCGCTAACCCAAAGGGTAGAAGTCACAACTCAAGTCTTGCAAGGCTGACTTCAAAACTGCCCCACCTAGACGATGGACATGTCAATTTTCTGATCCGAGCCCTAGCCCCCCACTCTTGAAAACCAAATAAATTTCATCACGTGCGTCATCCTGCAGCAGATTGCAGGTGAGCCAATCCAAAAGCCAATCATGAATAATATACTGTAGGTAAAATGGTCAACAATTTGAATGGGGAACTGAAAACCTTTTCGACACGCACCATCCAATGATCCATCTATTCCCGGAGCCGTTCCCATCATCATTGTATATCTGGTATATCACATGCAAATCAGAAAATATCAGAAAAAAAACAGCCATTAGTAAGGCTTGTGTTCCAGCATCTGACAGGTTTGATGCCTAAACACTCTCACTTGAAACAAGCTCAAAGAGCATCAAACCGCCAGCCCCATTCTCCAGTCCCATGAAGTGTCATGTTTCAGGTCAGGTTTTGAACGCCTGCTGGCCGACCAACCCGACACCTGCCCATGGACCATATCCGCCCGAGTGGCACATCCACCAAAACGCCCAGCAACATGTACCTGGACCCCGGGCTCCGAACGCGGCCGCACGTTTTCAGGACTCCGAACGCGTCGCTGCACGGCTTCAGAAGTCGCGTCTGCGCCACGTCTTGGGGGGACATCACCCAACATTCAATGAAGCTCCGGTCTCTTAAAGTCAAGTCATCTGGTCGGCTCTTCCAAGGTACATGATCGTCACCGAGACCAAGGCCATGAAGAAGACCATGATGGGCCACAGTCCAGGATTTCCAGCGGTGATGCTGTTGATGACCTGAAGTCTGTCGCATGTGCGCCTTCGCGTGCGGTCCGGTCCTGCATTCGCAGGAAAGCATCTGGTATCCCAAGCCAAGGGCTACCCTCGATCACAACCAAACATCAATTCCGGCAAGAAACAACATGGAGGAACACTTACAGCTGTAGCATCTTATAGCTTTATAGCTATGCTTCTGCTACTGCTTCTGCTATAACCCGTATGCTGTCGATGTCTTGATTTTCGGAAATGGGTTCCAACGCATACGGAGATGCAAGCAGCGACACCAAACCCCCAGTGGCGAAATCCGGTGTTGCCCGCATGTCCATGTCCATGTCAAACAACAGTCCAACACAGGTGATGAAGTTCAGACCTTAGAACCAAATCTGGAGAGCACACAGGGTGCCAATGGACCCGGAGAAATGCACGATCCGTGGTGACTCGACCACTTTCCGAAGACCCGCAGCAGTGGTTTTTGGGGGGTCCATGTGAATCCGTCAACGGGTAATGGTAGCTCTACTTGGATGGCTCGAATAGGACAAAATCGATTGAAACTGAGCCAGACCAAACTGGAGGTAGTTCTTCCAATGCTGTCATTTGGCGGTGATTTGGGCTATTATACAAACTTGAGAGGAGGGAGACACGAAAGGTAGGACAGCGGGAAGAGAAGAGAACGCGAGAGGCAGGAACAAAAATGCAATGTTCGACATGGTGATTTATCCCCTCGGAGGCGACCTTTCGTACATATGGTGGTTGTCCAATATTCTTGTTTATTGAAACGGCCATTCTTCGCGAAAAAAACATTAACATTCGCGAAACTTTCGCGAACCCTGTGTTTTTCTTTCGCGGGGGTTCACCATGTCATGAAACCATTTAACCTGGTAGGGACTCGATTTCTAAATACAGTTTGTGGGGTTGCTATGGGCTACGGGGTTCCTCTGGAACCGATTCATTCGCCGAAACCTTCGCCAGACTTTCGCGAAATAATCCCTGTGCTTTGGAGGTTTTTACGGCATACATAACATAGGGTGGACTACATGAAACAGGAAGGAAACTTCACACGGATTCCAAAGTTGAAGCTGCTGACGGTCAGAAAAGGATGTGGTTATGCATGGGGCAAGCCTGAAGGCTCACCAAAGAACATACAATAAAATTCATACTTTCGCGAATCTTTCGCGAAAAAAACATTAACATTCGCGAACTCGAAAAAAAACTTTCGCGAGACCCACGATCATGTCATCCAAGGCTCTCGACATTAAAAACCCTTACAAGGACCTTTTGGATAACTCCCATATATGTTCATATGCACTTTAAATGTTCAAACATGTGCTCTCGAAATGTTCAAAAAGATTCTTAGGAAAACAAACTTGCCCCATGGCTCAGATCATCGGTGAGCATTGAATCGGAACATCATAGGATTTGAACTATCCTGAAACCATAAGAGGCTCACGAAGACGCTCCCCAGGAGAGAATTGACGTGCTTCACAAAACAAACTCTAGGTATGTATCCCCTCGGGGAACACCTTTCGTGATTAGAATTTCATATTCACTCTTTCTGAATGTTCAAGAGGGTTTCAACTATCCTGAAATCATGAGAGGCTCACGAAGACGATCTCCAGGAGAGAATTGATTTTAGAGGGGGGGAGGGGGGGGGGGG